TTTGCATTTCTCTAATTGCTAGTGATGATGAACATTTTTTCATGTGTTTGTTGATTGATTGTACATCATCTTCTGAGAAGTGTCTCTTTAGGTCCTTGGCCCATTTATTGATTGGGTTATTTGTTTTTTTGGTGTCTAGTTGTTTGAGTTCTTTATATACCCTAGTGATTTGTGCTCTATCTGATGTGTGAGGGGTAAAGATTTGCTCCCAAGATGTAGGCTTTCTATTCACCTCACAGATTGTTTCTTTTGCTGAGAAGAAACTTTTTAGTTTGAGTCCATACCATTTATTGATTCTTGATTTTAATTCTTGTGCCACAGGAGTATTATTAAGGAAGTTGGGGCCTAATCTCACATAACAGAGATTAGGGGGTTAGGCCCCTTTCTAAAAAGTACTCTGTCCCATTAGTAAACTTTATAATGTACAAGCCTTTCCAACCAGCCTTCTTCACCCTTTTTTGTAGTTTACAATCCTAAGAATAATAGCACCAAAGCCTGTGTTTTTCTAATTTATATACCAGGACGTGTGTGTATTGTTTCCTGTGTGAGTAGACAGAGTCACTGATTGCATAGCCGTGGGACTCGATAAAGCCACATGCATTGACTTGGAGCAGTTTGAAGGATGCTTATGAAGCTGCATAGTAACTTTAGGAAATGTTTTTATAACCCGTATTGTGTTCCTGCCTCTGCTAATTATTACAAGGAAGCACCCCCTTAATATCCGTTAGCCTTTCATTGGTAAGAACAAAGAGATTGCTGTTCCCACCTGGGTCACAGTTGGGGGTTTTATTCTGTAGTTTTTTGTTGTTGTTGTTGTTGTTTTTTTTTTTCTTTTTTTATGGCACCCTAAGGCATTAGGGACACTCTGGAGATTGCAGCAAGGGGAAGATCATAATGATAATGCTTCAAATTCAAAACTTCAATTCCTTCTGGTTAATAGAACAGGTCCACGTCTCTTAATCTGTTGTTCTTCATATCAGAACTTCCTCTATCTCATCTCATGTTATTGTTTTACTATTTGGATACCTTTTCAATGAAGCCGATAGAATCACTTCCCCAAAGCCACCCTCCTTGTGAACACTTTGCTTTGCCAGGAAATTAATTGACTCATGTTCCTGCATGCTGGGGCTTGTTGTAGGGTGGCTGTATTCTGAAACTATCTCAGAGATATGTGGTTTGTGTTTGCTTCTGCCCAGAGACAGGTGTTTGCCCTCAACTTGTTTGTAACTGAGTGTTTCCCAAGAGAAAAATATTAACAAATGACCATAACCTGTTCAAGAGTCTTGATTTAAGAAACAGCCTACCAATCATTCTCTGGGTTTTTCTCCCACCATGCCTATGTTCCCAGTGGTCTCTTCCTTGATTGTCTTAAACTCATGTATTTTGCGAGTGCACAACATAATTTTGTTTCCTTCGCTCTTCAAAGGACAATTTTTTATTTGTTTGTGCCTTAAATTTTCTTAGCATATGTCTTTGCTTGGCAACCTCAAGCAATTTGGGGGGATATCCTTCACTGGAGGCTCCTCAAAATCACTATCTAAGGTTGGTAGAAGAGATGTACAGAAGCAGGCAGACTAGTAGTAGCTACATAAGCAATAGGTAGAGTGCCGATCCCTTACATCATGTTAATGTAATTTAATCCTCACATGGCCGTATGAGGTAAAAGGTTTTATTTCCAATTTAAATACGAGAAAGCTTATATAACTGAAATGCAAAGAGATTAAAGTAACTTTGCAGTGTATCTACAGACAGTAAATGGCAAAATCAGCTAATCAGTGGATCCCATGCTACTACGGGAAGGTAAAATGAGTCTCCTTGTCTTGCTAGAAAGTTTTACTGGTTGAAGAAAGAATAAGCAGCAGATCTTTAGCAGCAGTTCTTTTTTTTTTTTTTTAATCTTTATTTCTTAGTTATAGGTGGACATAATACCTTTATTTTATTTTTATTTGGTGCTGAGGATCGAACCCAGTGCCTCATGCATGCTAGGCAAGCGCTTGACCTCTGAGCCACAACCCCAGCCCAGCAGCAGTTCTTTATTATTGTAGCAACCATAACTGGGTTAATCATATCTCAAACCACTGAAGCATCTGCATCCACTTCCTATTGCTGTCATAACAAATTACATAAGTGGCTTTGACAACACAAAGTTATTGTCTTACAAGTCTACAGGTTTGCAATCAAATGGGGGTCTCACTGGGCTTAAAGGGGAAAAAAAAAGTGGCAGAGCCATATTTCTCTCTCTGCAGGTTTGGGGGAGAATCCATTTCCCGCACTGCTTGGTTCATGGTCCCTATACATCTTTAAAGCCAGYCATGGTAGATGGAGTTCTTCTCTCATCTCTATCACTCTGAGGTTGGCTCTTCTACCTCCTTCTAATGTCATCTTGTGATGGCATTATTCCTGCTTGGTTAATCCAGAATAATCTTTATATCTAAGATCAGCTGCTTACCAAACTTAATTCCATCTACTACTTCTTTTATAAAGGCACTGATATAATGGATCATGAGCACTTTAYCCCCATGACCTAATCATATCCTTCTAATATCATCTTAGGAGTTTGGGTTTCAGTATAGAAATTCTGGGGGCATACTTTCAGACCATATACCTTGTGAAGAGAATTTGGAAGTTAGGCATGGTGGCACATGCCTGTAGTCCCAGCTACTCAGGAGGCTGATGTAGAGGATTGTGAGTTTGAGGCCAGTGTGGGCAACATGGTGATTTTATTTGAGGAGGCTAATTAGTTTGCCTGAGACATACATATTCGGTGATTAATTTAAACTTCTGGGGTAAAATTACATTTTCTGTTTTTATACATCACTCAGAAAATGACTCAAGGTTGAACCAGAATGGTATTTTAACTGGAAATCAGAACTGAACGTGCCAACTTAGGTGACAGCCCCTACTTAGAGGATGTGCCTGGCTTCTGGCTTAGTTGCGAAAGTTCTGATTTCTCCGATCTTGGAGGGAAAACTCTCAGAATGGGGACAATTTCTCCTAACACATTTCATTCTAGAATTTCTCTTGGGTGTGTCGTCTACTTTCCTCAGCTCTGGTTGTAAATTCTTTTTGTCTTATCTCAAGCCCACACCTCACTTCTGATCTGCTATGGGTTATTTGGACCTTTTGGTTAAATTTTACCCTCCTGAGGCCTTTACAAAGTGGACAAGGCATCATATTTCATGGCTGGAAAATGGAGAATCAAAAAAAAAGATGTTATTTGCAGCAAGATGTATAGCCAATAATTCTGCAGGGATCTTTGCTGAAAGGGGAAAATATATAATATTCCACTTAAAAGAAGGAATTAAACTGTAAACAGGTATCATGTATATGTAATACGATGTAAAGCATAATGTAACACATGTTTTACCTTAAAGTAAAGCAGTTCAGTACAAAGAGAGAAACAACAAGGCAAAGGGCCAAAGAGAGGAGGGGTAGACAGAGGTGATGGGGCATTAGTGCTTGAATGTMTTTTGGAGTATAGCCACTGGAGGATTTGAAACCCTGCTTTCATAATCACAGTTGCAAGTGGGGCTGTTGTTAATACTAGACTAATTGAAGGCTCAGACCAGATGGAGCTTGAGCACCATTTGTTGGGCAGTCTTTCCAACAGAGAGGAGCTTCTATTGATATAGCTAGAACAGCCACTGAACCTTTTCTTCCCCCCTTCTGACATTACTTAGGGTTAACTAGGCCTCTCCCCTAAGGTTGGGAGGATCAAGGGCAACATTTGGATTGTTCCAGGGCACTGAGGCCTCATCTCCAAGTGAGGTGGCTTCGTTGCCAGCTAGTGTGGTGAAGTAGGAGTAACAGGTTAATTTTGGTCTACTGACATGTGGCTGTGTAAATAGAACTTATAAAAGGATTTCTCAGTACTGTCGCCTACTCCTGCCTCTGGAAGAAGACATCAAATTATATACCTTCCCCTGTGGACTCTCCCTTTTTTCATCTCTCCCTGTCCCTCCCCTCTGCGGGAAAGATAGGGATTATCTTTCCTGTTTCAAGTTTAGAAAAAAAATTAATAGACATAAATAAAAAGTAGTTTGTTCTGAATCAGGCATGGTGGCTCATGCTCGTAATCCTAGCTACTCATGCCAAGGGTTAGGATGAGGCAAGAGGATCTGAAGTTTGAGACCAGCCTGAGAAATTTAGTGAATTCCTCTCTCAAAGGGCTGGGGATATAGCTCAAAGGCACAGTACCTGTCTAGCACTACAAGTCCTTGGGTTCAATTCCCAACATGGAAAAATAAATAAATAAAAGTAGTTTGTTCTAAAAACTTCTGCAAGAMATTTCTGCAGAAATTCCCTTGAGGGAATTTTAACCCCTTTTGTAGATTCAAAAATGTTGTACCAAAAATTTGAACCAAGAGACTTAAGAACTGGTTAGAGTTGGTAATAGGAACAAACTAAATGAGGTGGCAAAGAGACAGATTCCCATATGTAGGGCAAGATAGACAGCTGCTTTATTCAATGGGTCACTGATCTGGGAATTGCCCTTAATTTGGAGGTATGACAATCAAAATGTAAGGTAAGGACCTTGTTTGTACCCTGAAACTAAGGATGCAATAGTTAAACAACAACAAAAAAAAATTTTTTAAGTCCATCAGGGAGATCTGGACATGGTCTAAGTAAAAGCCTAGAATTTATAACCATGAAAAACCTAACAAATGAAGCAAGTTTGACAAAATGTGCAATCTGGTGAATCTAGGTGATGGGTTTACAGGGCTCACTCTGTGATCTGTAATCCGTGATGATGAAACATTTTCATTTTGACTTCTTATGTGTTTACCTGGCCTCCTGGCCTATGGTAAGTGGTCACATTTTCATTCCTGTTGAGCTATCTAGAACCAGAGGAGCCAGATGCCCTCCTAAAGCTGCCTTATGAGCAACTGCAATCATCATCTGGGGCTGTTGATTCGGGATTGAAAGAGTAGGATGTTGTCCTAGATGATGTTGGTTTAGAGGTGGCTTTTTTTTTAACCTTTCACTTTATTTTTCTATAGGACCACCATGAGGCCCCAGACCTTCTATGATGGATGTCATTCCTGTACCAGAGGAGTATGCCATATTCCATTGGCTGAGCCGTTCTGCCCCAAAACAAGAGAGGTTTGTAGACTTCCAGGAAGGTGTACCAGAGCAGTTCATAAGGGCCTGGGGTGATTTCTGCAGTTATATCAGTTAACTGAGCAGGTAGTGTCCCTTCTTCTTTCAAGCTTACTTTTTATTGAGGGTCTTGCCTCTGAGGCTAGCCTCCCAAGTCACTGGCATTGTAGGCATGCACCACCATGCCTGGCTGGAACCTACCTTTTTAATAAGCTCCTATTTTGTGGGCTGGGGTTGTAGCTCAGTGGTAGAACACTTGCCTGTCGTGTGCAATGTGCAAGGCCCAGGGTTCAATCCCCAGGTACTGCCAAAAGAAAAAAAAATCTATTTCGCTGTCAGAATACTTTTTAGATAATTTAATATAGGACAGCATGACAGTTCAGAGTATATAGCCTGAGCTGAGTACAGTATCACACACCACTAATCCCAGCAGCTCAGGAGGCTGAGGCAGGAGGATTGTGAGATCAAAGCCAGCCTCAGCAGTTTAGTGGTTAAGTGCTGCTGGGTTCAATCCCCAGAACCAAAAAATAATAATAAAAAGACCGATGTGATTCTGCAATCTGTATATAGGGTAAAAATGGGAGTTCATAACCCACTTGAATCAAATGTATGAAATATGATATGTCAAGAGCTTTGAAATGTTTTGAACAACCAATAAAAAAAAAGAAAAAAAAGATTTTTGAATCATTAAAAAAAAAAGGAAGAAAATATAGCCTGAAGCCAGATTACTTAGCATCAAGGCTGTGCTCTTTAGCTTGATAGCTGTGTATTATCGGGCAAATTATTTAACATCTCTGGGCTTCAGAAATGTAAAAAGAAGACAATGATAACATATTTCCCAGGACCATGAGGGGCAAAAGAGCTAATACAAAGTGTTTTGAACCGTGTCTGTCAGTTATAGGACATCTAATGATTAATAACTGCTTTTATGAATTAAATTATTATGGATAATCTAAAAATGTTCCGATTGGCATCTTCTGCTTTTGAGCTGAGTTTGTCCATTATTGTCCAGCCTCTGCTCTAAGATTAGAGTAGAATCTCAGAAATATGGTGGCAGTCACACAGGGACCATTTATGGCGTCAAGTGAGAATCTCAGCCTTAACTTCCAGTGAATTAAAAATGTCTCTTATAGAAAGATCCTGTGTTGTGACACTTTTCTTATAATCCTCAGTTTGAAAGTCAGGTGCAACCCAAAAGCTCAGAAGTATTGTCATTTGTGTTAAAATCTCTGTATGTATAAAGAGATGAGTATTTTTAGAAAATTTACCAGAAACTTGTAACCGGGGTTTCCTTGGAGGGCAGGTGACCTGGTTCCTAAGTCAGGGTGAAAGAAATTCTCTCCCAACCTAACAGCCTTTTATGTATTTATTGTGGTTTGGACCATGTACACGTGTTACCTGTTCTGAAAATGATATCACTTGTAGTCATTTCAGAAGACACAAATGTTCTAAAAATCTTTATCTGAATGTTCTAATACATTTTTTTCTGGTGATCTAATATTGCTAGTCCCTTTACGAGGATGTGATGGTTTCAGGAGCTCCATTTTGATTACTCAAGATAAGAAAATGAAATCATCTTAGCCTCAGAACTGAGTTTGGCCCTGTAGTTTATTTTCCCCACTTCCTTAGGGTGTTGTTACTTGTTCTCCTGGGAGTACAAAGTATTGGTTCAGCAATGAGGCCCCCAGGGTCTGTCATTGTGACCAACCTGCATCCAGAAGTCTCCTTTTCCTCCTCACAGTCATGGTACCAAACTCCATTGAGGAGGACTTAGGTGTCACTGGCCAGTGGGACACAGTAGCTGTGATCTTAACACATGTCTAGAAACTGAAGTTTAGCCAAGACATTATTCTTCAAAGACACTTAATGAAGGCAAGACTGGGTTGGGGGGAGGGGAAGTAGGGACTTGGGCCCTTGGATTTATAACTTGTACTATGTGGAAGAAAGGGTAGATTAAACATAATTTATTTTCAGCATTCATAAAATAAGCACAGTACAGCATCAAGTGTTCATTGCTGACTGCTTATTATGGTTCCAAATTGGGAGTTGCCAAAGCTCCTATTAAAATTTTCTTTCCCTTTTCCATGGCATAATGAGTTATATGTAAGGAAATAGATTAATTTGCTTATAGAGTTCAGACTTGTGCAGGTAAAATTTAGCCTAGATTAGAGCCTTCTTTTGACTTTTGAATCCCTCCACTTTATATATCCACTATCCCAGGAATCTGCCATTCATTTGGCAAACTTGTAGAAGTTGCTGATATTAGTGATCATTGAAAGACCAGTTTAGCCTTTATGTAGTGTTTACAGTGTTCTGGGACAATTCTGTGCAACCATATACCTTAGCTTATTTAATCCAAGATATCTCTGAGTTATACAATAAATATTGTTATTCCCGTTTTACAGATGAGAATACTAAGGCATGAGGTTAAGTGACTTTTCAACAGTGCTTTAATGGGTTAACAGCTAAGTTGAAGAAGACTAATTTTTTTTATATTAAAAGGGAATGTTGACACACAGACTAAGGAAAAAATGAAATTAATACCCTGAAAATAGACATTATTAATTAAAACACTGGACAAAAAGATCAAAATTTTTAATGTTTCTAAAACCCATATATGATCTTCTCTCTAAAGGAATGCCAAGATAAATTTATTTCTGGAAGGAAAAAATCATCACAGCTCCATTCTGTTCACCATATGTCCTTAGAGCAGCAACAGGCAACAGAGAAATGACTTTCTAACTCAAAACAAAGATTGTACTAAAGCCTGCACCTTCTGGGGTGGGGTGGGTGGGGGTAAGGGGGGGGCATGAGCAGTTACTCCTCAGGAGTTTGGGAAATAGAATTCAGCACAACTCTTTCAAGAGGTGTGACTCAAGTCCAAATTCACAACCCAGCTTAGAAAGCAGGTAAGCAAATTCCTGGTACATAAAGAAATCTCCTTGTCTGTTCCTATAGAGTTGATCTATGTATGCAAAGGGACTGTATGAATGAGTAAGGGTCTAGTGTAGGAGACCCCATTCTGTGGTCTATTTTAAATAAAACTTGCTAAACATCAGGGAATAAATAAAATTATAAACCATACATATGTTCATATGTTTTCAGTTTGTGTTTTTTTTTTCCCCCTAGGTCCTCATAGAGACTGCTAAGAAGCTAGGACTCCGATGCCACTCAAAGGGGACTATAGTCACAATCGAGGGACCTCGGTTTAGTTCCCGGGCAGAAAGCTTCATGTTCCGCACCTRGGGGGCAGATGTTATCAATATGACCACAGTTCCAGAGGTGGTTCTTGCCAAGGAGGCTGGAATTTGCTATGCAGGCATCGCCATGGCAACAGATTATGATTGCTGGAAGGAGCATGAGGAAGCAGTAGGTGGAATTCTCTTCTGAGCATGAGCAACATGGGTTTCTGGGTACCAAGAGCTTTTGAGAAAGCATCTTAATTATTTTGTGTGTGTGTTAGTTTCAGAGAGTGAGATGCTTTTGTCCAGGAATCAAGAGTGAACAGTGCATTCATTGTAGGCTTGTAGATCTGCTGAGAATCACAATAAGACTTGGGCCTTACTTGAAGGACAAAGATGTGTTGTGATTGTAATTTTCTTGTACGAAAGTCAGGGGTTAATGTTGAAACGATACAGGAGTCCCTCTCCAGTTGACCAAACCATTTATTTGAAGTCTGACAACCATCCTGGTTTAAGTATGATGTATGTGTGGGTGCGGGGGAGGCATGATGGAGAGGAGGGAGATGGCAGCAAGATATGGCAGGACCACAGACAATGTGAGCATTCTGGATGCAAGACCACAGAGGGCTTGAGGCAAGGAAGATAGCAGGTCCTACTAGAATTTGAAGCTTCCAAAACAAACATTTTTATTGTGGGAAACTATAAAGATCTATGGAACCTACCTCTCAACTTCTACAGGTTGGCCAACCCTGGCCAATCTTGTGTCATGCATGTCCCTTTCTGTTTCTCCAACTCCTACCCTCTTTTTGAAGTAAATAGTTTTTTAGTATGGCATTTTTTTAATTTTTAAAAAAATTAGCCACTGTTATTAGTTTCTTGATATAATCAAATATTTAGACTGCTTGTATTTTCCTTCTGGTCTCATGATCTTTAACAGTTTAGTCAAATTGGCATCCCTGCAGCTCAGACATTGTGTGTTAATGGTATGCCTCTTAAGGATCTTTTAGTAGTCTCTGCCCTCTGTTCTCATTCCTGTGAGAGCATTTGTCTTGTCATTTATCTCAGTTTAAAATAGAGAAAGGGCCAGGCACAGTAGTACATGCATATAATCCCAGCAATTCAGGAGATTGAGGCTGGAGGATCGCAAGTTCAAGGCCAGCCTCAGCAATTTAGTAATGCCCTATTCCAAAATGAAAAATAAAAAGGGCTAGGAATGTGGCTCAATGGTAAAGGGCCCCTAGAATCCATCTTCAATACCAAATATAAAATAAAATAGAGAAAGGGACAAAACTAGGATTACCAAACTTGAAGGAATGGAGATGATACCTCCAAAGAGGCCCTTACCACATCTCAAGAGAGTTGCTTATTTTACCATCCAGTTTCACATTAAAAAAAGGTTAGCTACTCTTGCCATGCCTGTCCATGTGTACTGTGCTTGGGTGCATAGATAGGTGAACACAGGTTCTTGATTTTTACTTGAATGTCTTATCCTGGCTCCTCAGTGTAATGCAATATTGCTGATTACTGGAATATCTTTTACACATATATGCAAATCCTGACTTCAGGTCACACCATAATATCTGGTTGGGAGCTTTGTAACCTAAGGGAGACCTGGTTTCTGAATGTTGAGAACATGCGTTCAATTAATAGGAAACTCCAGCCCTTGCAGCTGGCTTCCTGAAAAGAGTTTTGCTTCCTGCTTATGGCTTTCTGCTCAGCATGTCTCCTTTGCACAAGTAGCAGTGATTTCCTTTAGCAGCCCAGAAGAGAGTTGGAAAGCAGTCAATTGGAGCCAATTCATTCAAAAGCAGAGAACCTGAGATCTCTGTGATAGGCGTAAAGACAAATAATGTTAAGTGCCACAAAGAAGACACACAAAGGTGGCAACAACTCAGCCCACCAAGTGTGTCATGTGCTTTAAGCCAGACATGCACCCTGGCATGGCAGGAAGGTTTTGGAGTTGCCTCAACCCGACTTCAATTCTAGTTGTTCCGTTTACCTGTGGCACTAGACAAGTTATTGAAGCTGTTAACTTCTCTGCAGAATGAAGCCAGGGAATGGGAGTGAATGGTTAGAGTTGTTTAGAAGTTTTAGCTTGACCTTTAATAGAGGGTTGAATTTTTCCAGGGAGAGGGTCAATAAGAAAGGAACCTAACAGAAACAAAAAGAGAGGTCACAGTCTATCTATATAGATACATCATTTACAGGGAAAATATATGGGGATGCTTAAAAACAAGGTAAATCTCTTGGATGCTTCATATATTTGCATTTAATGACTCAGCTGAAACCATGCCTTTACATGTTCTTGGCAAATACCCAGTTGCCCGCAGCTTTGTGTTGCACAGTACTGGAAATTTCCCTCTGCTGTGGTGCCCATGCTTGTTTTGTTTTGTGTGTGTGTGTTTTTTTTTTTTTTTTTTTCTCCTAAACAATCCTCAGTGCTCATGGGAGCAATCTGGACATGAGATAGAAGGGTATAATCATCATGTCCCTAAATCTAATTTTAGTCATAATACAAAAGTAGACAATAGGATGGACATCCATGAGCCCCAACAGCCAGTTTGAACCATTGTCCTCTCAACTTACGTCCAGTCACATTTCATCTGTATTTCCCTTCATAATTTTAATCCAGAAACATTTCAGGAATTATCTGACATAATCATACTGTCATTATTATACTCCAACAGTAATTCCTCAGTATACTGCAACAAAACTCAAGTGTCTAGTTAAATGTCATAATAAAGGATTTCTTTTTTTTTTTTTTTTTTTTTGTATAATAAGTTTTCTTAAGGAAACCAAGACTCTTGTCCTGTTGAGTTTCTCACAGTCTGAATTTCTGAAAGCTTCCTCTTAGAGTAACAGGTTTCTCTGTCCTCTGTATTTTCTGAAAATTGACAGCTAGATCTGGAATTTGATCAGATTCAGGTGTCTTTAGTAAGTTTTTTGTTTGTTTCTTGAAGCCCATGATGAGTAGGGAGGTTTTGGGTTGTTTGGATAGTTTGTGATGTTAGTAGCCAAACCATTAATTCATTACAAGTCATACAGTGGTGATACTTTGATTCTATAATTTTTTTTTCTTTAGTAGTTTTAACAACTTTCTAAAAAGGCAATACTTATTTTAAATTTGATTATCCAATGTAGCCCCAATTTTAAGAATGGAATTCCTTTTACTATGGACATGGAGAAAACAGAACCTTGTTTTCACACCATACTGATCCATTATACATCTGAGATATTTTCTCAGATACCATATTGAAAATTGTTAATGCTTCCCCCTCCCCCTTTTTTTTCTCCAAGACCTCTGCTCTAAGACTAAAACCATCTTGATAAATGCAGTGTTTAGGTGTAAAGGATTGAATTTGGAGTAAAACAGATTTTACCAGTCAGGCTTGTTAGTCTCTAAGCTGCTATAACAGAAAACTGGGTAGCTTCTGAGCAAAAGTTTTTCTTTCACAGTTCTAGAGGTTAGGAAGTCCAAGGTCAAGGAACTGGCCAGTTGGGTGTCTGGTGAGCACCTGCCTCCCCATAACCATCTCAATTCTCACTTAACCTCACAAGGGGTGAGGGTACTCTCTGTGATCTCTAGTCTCATTCATGAGGGCTTTATTTTCATACTTAATATCCTTTAGAGGCCCACCTCCTAGCACTCTCACATTGGGGATTAGATTTCAACAGATGAATTTGGAAGGGACACACACATAYACACCATAGTAAAGATCAAACTCAAGAAAAATATTCTGTGAACAGAAATGGACTTGTAAATTCAGTTAACATCCTATGCTGTTGTTTCTCTAGGTTTCAGTAGACCGGGTTTTAAAGACCCTGAAAGAAAATGCCAACAAAGCTAAAAGTTTACTCCTTACTGCCATACCTCAGATAGGATCCATGGAATGGTCAGAAACCCTCCATAACCTGAAGGTAGGTGTCCTGAGCCATCTTTGCAAGCATACACTTCCAGAGACTTTAGACATCATCTTCTCACTTCCATTTCTCCCTGGGTCTATTTCCCTACATATTTTATGCAATCGTGAATATTTTTTCAGTAAGTTTTCATGCCATTTACTACCAAACCAATCACTTATGAAACTGAACAGTTGTATTTTCTGACTAATAATGCAAGACCAAGACCATTGGAAACTGAGGTGGGGAGAGTTTATTATCTTGTGTCCCATATTATTCACATTGTCTTGCAGTACATCACTAAGTCTTTTTTGTTGTTGTTGTTTTCAAAGCTATTTTCTCTTTGGTAGATTCATAGAAAATGTTGGCAAGTATTCAAAACCAAAACTGACATAGCAATACCAAGCGTCAGGGAAGATGTGACGCAGCATGGGATCAGACTAACAGTCATTAATGATAAACATGAAAATGGTTTCAGATTGGTAGCTTTCCAACTTTGGTATTAGTTCCCAGAATATAATTTATACTCACTGCTAAACTGAGAAGTACATGATGCCTTGAATTGTTCCAGTTAAAGAGGGCTGTATCTTAAAGTCTCCTAGAGACACTTATATTCTTTGCTCTTATAACACGTTGAAAGGGGCTATAAAGGTTTATAGAAGCCCTGCCTACCTCGATTACCACTTAGGAGTTCAGAAATGAGAGCTACAGTTTTACTGTGATGAGGATACTGTGTGGTGTTTGTTGACTTATATTGTATAAATACTCCAGGACAGGCTGTGAAGCTGCCAACGTGGAGCCACTGAGAAGTTGGGAAATGGCTCCTGCAAGCTGGTACAACCACGTTCTAACACACCACTGTCACTAAGGTGTCTCAGCTTGTAGGACTGGCCCAGCCATGAGTGTTAAAATTAATTATCCTACCTACTAGGACTCACATCTGTTGACTTCAATACTGTGTACCTAGGAGGTTTTTTTTTTTTTTTTTGAGACCGTGTCTAGCCACGTTGCTGGGCTGACCTTGAGCTTGGAATCCTTCTGCTGTAACTGGGATTACAGGCATACGCCACTACACCTGGCTTTGAAATGTTATTTAAGAATAAATGATAGTCCCTTTCCTCCATGAAGTGTTTTATCATAATTGAGATACAACCTTTATTATTATTCTAATTATGGAGAATAGAAAAACAAAAAATATTCTATGAAATAGCAAATTTGGTTTAAACTGAAACCAAGTGGCTTGATTTTGATTTTTTATTTCATTTTAAAATGTTACATTCAACTAAGTATAATGCAGGGCAGCAAATCCTCAGCTTGTATGATAATCACGTGTTGGTTTGCTGGAAATATCACTCAGATTTTTGTTGCTGAAGGGACTTGTTACCTTCAAGCTATGATAGAGATACGATTTTGTCGGGGAGAGGGAAGTCTCCCAACTAACCCCAACTTCATAGACTCTTAAATTTGAAAGTTATTTCTTAGGTAAAAAATGCTTAAGTGGTAGAAGCCTTTTTGTTTTAATTAAGCTTCTGACTTTGTTACATTTATTCACTTTTAAAGAAGGTGAGTGTGTCATCAGATTTTCAGAGAGTTAAAAGAGAAAAAAGAAGAATTGCTAACAAAATTGAGTTATTGTGGCCTTCATTCTGGGACACTAAGGACCACCATACAAACAATTCCTTGACTAAGTAGTATTTTCAGTCTTCTGAGCACTGAAATGTATATCATTCATTCATTCACTCACTTAATTCATTTCAGCAATATTGATGTGCATGTATGTCAAGCTGTGGTTTAGAAAGGTACACAAAGACTTCTTGTGATGATTCTATTCTGTTGAAAATATAGACACATTAAAATTTCGCTGATTTTTTTTTTCTTTTAAAAATGAGATAGGAATAAGGGCTAGAAGATACATAAACAACAATCCAGGCTAAAGTTGGAACATAAAATGTATCCTAGTACATGGATGGATATGAGTGACTATCAGAATATTCTTAACATCATTTAGGGGAAAAAGAAGTGACAAAATATACCTGTAATCCCAGACACTCAGGAAGTTAAAATGGGAGAATTGCAAGTACAAGGCCAACTTAGTAATTTAATGAGACAGACCCTGTCTCAAAATGAAAAGGGCTGGGGATCTCGCTCAGTAGTAGAATGCTTGCCTAGCATGCTCAGTGCCATGGATTCGGTCCCTAATACCATACACACACATACACACACACACACTGTTCTGAATAATCTACAAAAGCAAAATCTGGAGGATTTATTGCTGTTGTTGAAGTCCAGTTTTAGCAAGTACTTCAGGTAATTAGCATACTCACCTATGCCTATAATGCTCATCACTTTCTACTTTCTTCCTTTCAGAATATGGCCCAGTTTTCTGTTTTATTACCAAGACACTAAAATCGTTTTTTATTACTGCTCAGAAGAAAAGAAGACTTTCCAGTTATTTTGGATATTTTGCTTACCTTGAGGGGAAAACAAAACAAAAACTTGGGAAAGACATGCAGCTTATGTGTCCTTGCCTGCAAAAGAAGAGCAGGTAGAAAGACATYGCAAGTATTGGAGACTCTGCCTTAAAGATWGAGACTGTTTGAGAGCAATGAGGAAAAGCARATGGACAGGAAATCTTACATTTTGGGAAAACACCAAGAAGAGAGCATTCTCACCTCACTTCCCTTATTAACTTTGCAACAATAAAGATTTGAGGGTAATACTCATTTCCTACATTGACATGGAATATGGGGAAGAAATGGGACTCTGGTTATTTATTATAAATTGGTACAATCATTTTGGAGGGCAGTTCGGCAAAATGCATSAGAAACCTTAGAAATACTTATGCACTTTGTTGGAAAGTCCTAGGAATTTCTCCTTCAAAAATTATTGGAGAATCATACAAAAAAACTGTGTATGAAGAGAGATGYTTAATAGTTACTGTTAAGATAGCAAGTATTCACAACAATCTGGATTTCCAACAACTGAAGGTCATTTATGGTTTCAGTTATCATTAGATTGTAAAGCAATCAGCTGGCGATCATGTTTTCATGTAATATTTAATGTTCCAAATAAATCATTTTCCTGTTCTAKATTTGTTTTAAAAATGCTWTGTAAGTGTAAAAAGACTAGAAGGAAACATACATAATCTTTTGTTATTGTATTTGGAAGAGGAATACTAAATAATTTTAATTTTTCTTTTGAATCTTTCTGAATCTTCACATTTTTCTACAGTTAGTAAAATAATAAAGTCATAAAAATAAAAGTGGATTTAAACACTTTCTGGTAATGAATCAAAATTTAAGAGGAGTATTGTTTAAGGAAGTTAGTTCTTTTTCTATTAAAAAAGGACAGTTGGTTGCTACACAGTCAGCTTGGATTTTCTTTCATCAGCTTCCAGAAAAAAGCCACATGATTAATTCTGACATTGTCTAAATGTTAAAACTATTATAAGGGCTGTGGTTGTGGATCAGGGGTAGAGCACTTGCCTAGCATGTGTGAGGTACTGGGTTCGATCATCAGCACCACATATAAATAAATAAAATAAAGGTCCATCAACAACTAATAAAAATATTTTTTAAAAAAAAACTTATTTTAAAAAGTAAATACACTTTAGTGCATCTGGTATTTTTAAACTAATATTTTTCTACTCCTTATGAGTTGACATTATTTTTCATGAGTTAGTGATTCTTATTTCTTCATAGAATTAAAAGTGAACCTTTTAACTATATATTATATTATTGATCTTATAGGAATGTTTAAGTTTTATATTATTAAGAGATCATTTTTTCCTCATTTTTTTTTCCTAACATGTTACGTATTACAAGATACTTAGGAGAGGGGCAATGGGATCTTTTGTTTAAAAAGTATAAAGGTAATGTGTTTGTGTCTGTGATATTGACTTTAAGATAATAAGCTGCTAAGTGTAAAGATTAAGGAAGCCAGTCACCCTCCAGCCATGATACTGAGCCCTTTGTGTTACATGTGATTATGACACTTGGACTCCCTGATACAGTGGTTCCAACTCTGGTAGAGGTCCACAGAGAATGTGGGTTCTCCAGCTGTGGAACCCACAGTGTTCTGCACTGTAACACAGATCATACCTTACTTTCCCTCATTATTAGTAGGTGCCCAAGAATGTCAAGGCAGAAGCGTGGGCATTTGTATTGCTGCCTTTAGAAAATAGTTTTTTTCCCCACTTTGGAAAAAAATTTTTCTGTGTCTAGTAGCCTTTTCTAGGAGTTTCTTAAATAGCGTAAATTCTCATATTGCTTGTTATTAATCATTCGCCCTGTATACAAAGCCAGTATAATTTTCTTACCTCATGTTTGAGGATGTTGCTCAATATCTACTGGAACACTTCTCTGCTACTTGATATTTTTCCCCCCAGTACTAGGGCGTAAAACCCAGGACCTTGCATGTTATAGGCAAGTGCTCTACCACTGAACTGCATCCCCCGCTCTATTTTTTTTAAGCTAATAAATTAAGTGAACAGTATAGTCAGTTTTGACCATTTTGAAAGGATGATAGGCATATGGGAAAGCTCTGGCTTAGTGATTTCGCATCTTATTTGATTGGATTCGAATCTGCTTCAAGCGGGATTTTTATGGCATTATAATCTGCTCTTGTGTTTGTCATTGATGTTCATAATTTTAAGAATGGCAACCCAAATAATTAATAAGTGAAGTGTTAACCTAAAAGAATGAAAAAAAATGGATCAGCAGGGTTAYGTTTGATACCTGAAAATATTTGGCAGATTAACCTACATGTATTCAGAAATTGTAACAGGCAAGTGCTGGGGAATGGCTAAAATTCTCATTGACATGAGCTGCTCTAAATAAATGACACATCATTTCAAATATGTGCAGTCGTCAAAAAGAACAGAGATGTATCTTGTGTACTAGTGTGGAGCAATGTAATAAAAGTGTCAATCAGAAAAATATGTAAAGTAAAATAAGTATGCAGTTTGAGCATGTGGATAGCATATTTATGCTCTGTTCATAGGAAGTTTCTGGAAAGAAACTTAATGATAAGCTCTGAGGAAAGAAGACTAGAAGACAACTGGCTTCATTACAATTTATATAAATGAGGTAGAATTTCTGTTTCTTGGCATTAAATTCTGCAACATGGTATTCAGTTTTGGTCACAGCACTTTAAAGGGGAACATTGGCCATCTAAAAAGCACCAATAAAGGGGTGAGGCAACTGGGAAAGACATGGCCACATTAGTAATGGTTAAAGGAATTACATACATCCCACCATTGAAAAGAAAACCTTGAATAAAAACTTCATGTATAAAAAGCTCAGTCACAAAAAGTCATTCAGTTATAAAATTCTGTCTCTTTACTATTTTTTAAGCCCCATAAAGGCAGGAACCACATCTTTTTTACTTTCTAATTTAGTGTAGGATCTCTTCCTTGTACTTAGCATATAGTGAATAAACATCTGTGTTAAAAAAAAAAAAAACTGATAACATCTCAATATGCTTTCTCAGCTCTCTCAAACTCTCCATCCTCACTTTCAGCAGGTTCCTTCATGGACAAAATGGAGGGAGGCATCAGAAGAGAACTTCCAAGGACCCCCTTTCTCTCTCCTGACCTGTTTTCCAGACTGTCACCATCCACCACAGTGCTTCTTGAGCTTACATATCAACATCACCTGAAGGTCCTATTATGTTGCATGGCTCCAACTCTGACTCAGGAGTTTCTGACTCCTGGTGTGTCTGGTGAGACCCTATAATTTGCATCTCTAATAAGTACCAAGTGACACTGCTGATGCAGGAACCCCACTTTGAGAATCCCGTATTATAGCCGTTTCTGCTTCATCATCCTCTTAAGATCTCAAACTTTTGACACAAAGACATCACTGGCAACACTGCCTTTCAATCTAGATTACCCTCTTTATTGGATCATTTCACCACAAGATTATGTTTTATTTCTCTCATTAAATTTATCATGTGTATGGTATTGGGGATTGAAACAAGAGCTTCATGCGTGGTAGGCAAGTATTCTACCAATCAGCTAAACCCAAAGCTATCATCAAAACTCTTACCCTGAATTCTAGGTCATTTTTGTCTCATCTTTTTTGCCTTTTATTGAAATAAAAATCCCTTGAAGAGTTATCTATTCTCAGTGCTTCCAATTCATTTTTCAACCCACTCCAATTCAGATGTTGCCATCATCCATGCCCAGCACCACCAAAATTATTCTCAAGGTCACCTTTTTACTTATGTAATGGTTGATTCTTAGACTTCAACCTTCTTTTCCTATAGGCAGTGTTGTGCCAGGAGCTCTCCCTCCCTGAGCAGCTTTCTTCACTTGGCTTCCGGGGGCACCACGTCTTGCTTTTTTTTTCTGTCTCAATGCTTGCTGCTTCTCAGTCTCCTTTGCTGGTTCCTAACCATCTCCCTGGTCTCCCTGGTTGTCCACCCCGAGGCTCAGTTCTTAACAATCACTTTACATCTCCCCTACACCTGCTTTCCCAGCATTCAGTAATTGGCAGTTTTCATCCTTCCAGGTCCCCAGACCAAAACCTTGGAGTCATTGTTTCTATTTAAAACCCTCATTTATCAAGAAACACTATTTACTGTAACCACTGCCTCCACCCTAGACTGAGCCACTCATCTCTTACCTGGACACTGCAATAACCTAACAGGTCTTTCTGCTTTCATGTACCACTTATAGCAACCCAGGAGCCAGGATGGTCCTTTTAAAAATTTAAAAAAAAAAAAAAAAAAAAAAAAAAACATCATTTCTCTGCTCCAAAATTCTGGGTCCTCAAGGTAGCCCATGCATTCCCATGTCATCTTCACTTTCAGATTTCCTCTCAGTACCATTCCTTTAACTCTGCCCTTTCCACTGGCCTTCTTGCTTTTCTTAGAGTATGCCAGGCCCTCTCTTCCTTTCATACCAGAGTATTTCATTTGTTCTCCTTCTACCCGGAAATCTACTACAGCACTGCCTTTAAATCTGTTCAAAAATTAGTGGATCAACCTCAAACATCCTATTTCAACAGAATGCAATCATACCTCCAGCAAGCTAAGGGACTCACCTGGCCTGCTCCCCACCCCCCATAGCTCTTAACTCCTGCCAACATACTCTAATATCTGTTATATTTGTTGACATACCCAGTAAAATGTGAACTCTAAGGGTGAGAACCTTATCACTCAATGATAGCCCAAATGATCAGGTTAGTTCTTGGCACTCAGTAGGCTTCCAGCCAATACCACTTTGAATATACAGCGTCCCCATACACACAGCGTAGGAAACTCTGCACGTTCTGGAATGTTGTGGTTTGTTCCTGTCTCTTTCCGCCTTTCACAGTTTATGACATTCTAGGTTAGCACTGTCTGATAGAGGAAGAATGTGAGCTAATAGGCAATTTCAAATTTTCTAAGAGCCACATTTCACAGTTTATGACATTCTAGGTTAGCACTGTCTGACAGAGGGAGAATGTGAACTAATAGACAATTTCAAATTTTCTAAGAGCCACATTTAAAAAGTAAAAAGAAACAGGAAATTAATCATAATATTCTAGTTACTTAACCTAGCATACCTAAAATATTTTGAAGACATGTAATCAATATAAAAACAGTTTATCAGATGCTAAATTTCCTTCAGAAATATTTTATCTCTATTTAAATGATTTAAATTCCATAAAAATTCACTTTGAGAAAGTAAATTTGCCTAATTATTCTAAGTATATTGAAGTAGATCTCACCAATTTTTTAAATTTAATTAAAATTACATGAAAAACTCATTTTTTTTTTCTGTTGTATTAGCCACATTTTAAATGTTTGACAGCCACACATGTCTAGTGGCTGCTATATTTAGCAGCTTAACTGTGGCTCTAACACAGGGCTGAACAGGCTGGCACTTGCCTCTTGCCTTTTATAACTGTTGTCCTCCCACCTGGAAGATTGTCCTCTTTGCTCCACCATCTCCTCCTTTATCTGACCCAATTTCAATTACCCCTTCCTCTGCACTCTTAATACCCAACATATTACATTATTATTATACTGTATTAGAATAATCTAATGTGTTGTTCATTGGTGCCAGGGATAAATCTGTCTTGTTTACTTTTGCATCCTCAGA